CCCCCCCTCCCCTCACACACACACATCCGCGCCGCCTCATCCCCTCCCCCCTCCTCCCCCCATCGCGCGCGCGCTCGCGGCGACCGTTGGGCGGGCGGGAAAACGGCGGGCGCGCGCCCCCTTTTCTCCCCCTCAGCGCTTCCCGCGCCTCCCTCTGAGGGGCCCGGCGGGCCGGCAACGGCTGTGACATACCCAGAGCGCGCAGCGAGGCGTCCTGAATGGAAAAGGGAACTCCCCCCGGGGCCCATTGGCCCTACGCGGCCGTTCGTCACCAGCGGACCGCCCTCGGGGGGCTGTGTGGGGCGGGGCGACGAAAAACCAGCCTGGAGATGAGATCGCTCCTCGTCTGCTCGCTTAATGTTAAATACCACAAGAAAACAAAAAACCAAAAAAAAAAACCAACCCCACAACGAAAAGCTCCTCCCCCACGCTCCAGGATTATAAAAAAATAAGAATATACACATTCGAAGAGCTTAATACAGTATAAAGTTCCCGATGCAGCCGTGCTGGGAACGCACGCCCTCAAGGCTCTGCGTACAGGTCTAGATGGTCCCACCGAGAGAAGAAAAAAAAAAAAAATTACAAAATAAAACCACCCCGACACCCTTTTCCCCGAGCCTCCTCCAGCCCCGGGCTCGCTTGCTTGAAGTAAGGCACAGTTCCCAGCTGGCAGGGCTGTGTCAGTGCCCAGCAGAGCCCTTCTGGGCGGCAGGCAGCAGGCCGCGGCGCTGGGCGTGCTCCAGCACTGCGCTGTAACAGAAGAAATACTGCTCCGGGGTCTGGATGCTGAAGGCACGCTGCGTCCTCATGCGCTGCACCGTCTGCTGGATGTCCAGCGTGCCCACGTCCTGCAGCTGCGACAGGCAGATGTCCAGAGCGCACAGGGTACCTGTGGACGAGCGCGAGCATCGCTCAGCCGACACGCTGCCAATGCAACATCACCCCTCTCCGTGCTGCACTCCTTACCCGTCCTGCCGATGCCGGCGCTGCAATGCACCACGAGCGGAGGGCCCCCCGGGTGCCCCTTGAAACGCGGTCCCAACGCACTGACAGCCACGCGCTGCTGCTGCTTCACGGCCCCCAGGAAGTCAATGAGCGTGGCTGCCGATGAGGGCACGCCGTAATCCGGCCAGCTCAGGTATTGGAAGTGGGAGAGCAATCGCCGCTCCTTGCCCTGGGGATAAGCAGGGAGGGGGTCAGTGGGATGGGATAGCCCCACGGCACCCGCTGGGCACACACACCTTAGCGCACACACCTCGGCACTGTGGATCTCTAGGATGGTTTTCTTGTAATGGCTGAGGTTTTCCACGCCCAGGTTGGTGATGGTCAGCGCCCCGAAGCGCATCTGGAAATCCTTCTCCAGGGGCCAGTACTGGCCGCACTTCCTCCTGCCCCCCTCCTCCAGCCTGCAGATGGGATGTGGTGACATGGGGACAGTGCCCTCCCTGCCAGCATCACGTGGTGCCCTGCGTCCCCCAAGTGCCCGCAGCATCCCTCTGCAGTGCTCTGTACTGGGGCAGCTCAGGGACACCAGGTATGCGGGCAGCAGAACACAGCTGGCTCTCCCCTGCACTGCACAGAGGTATTTTCAGGGCATCCCCTTCCTTTGGGATGCAAAGCGCTGCTTTCCAGCCATGACAGCAGTTGATCCAATAGCAAAACCACTTGTTTTGCCACCCAGGGCACTCACCGAGTCGTCATCACGATCACCAGGACATTCTGTTCCCACACCATGCGCCAGAAGTCACCATAGGTGTTCTCCAGGGGCCCTGCAGGGACAGCCTGCTGTCACTTGGTGAGGCTGGGCAGGACAGGCAATCAATCCCTGAGCATCCTTGGACACAGGAACCACACAGAGGGTGGTGACACACTGAAACAGGTTGCCCAAGGAGGCTGTGGATGCCCCATCCCTGGAGGCATTCAAGGCCAGGCTGGATGTGGCTCTGGGCAGCCTGGTCTAGAGGTTGGTGACCCTGCACATAGCAGGGGGGTTGAAACTAGATGATTACTGTGGTCCTTTTCAACCCAGGCCATTCTGTGGTTCTATGAACATGCGACCCTTACCCTGTGTCCCGATGTACGCATTCCTCTGCTTGTAGCCATCCATGAAGCTGGCATTGATGTAGTCGGTCAGCTGGGGATAATGACATGGCATGAGTGCACCACGGGGATGGCTTCAGCATGACCCCCTGGGCTAAGCTCCAAGCAAGCAAAATGAGCAAGAACCCAGGTGCTGGGTGTCAAGGATGGGCTGGTGGAACAGTGCAGGATGTGAGGGGGGCTCACCTCTGGGCGGCTGTAGGGCTTGGCCAGCTTCACACGGGTCTGGTCCAGGCAGGGCACGTCTCCATAACGGTTCTTCTCCTGGTTGTAGGGCGCCCTGGGGCAGGGACAGGGCAGGGTAGCGGGGCATCCCAAGGCAATGCCCAGGGCTCTGCTGCCATCGCCTGGCCGCAGCCCGGGAGCGGCATGCACCAGGTCCCCACTTCTCCTCCCGCCCCACTCAACTCACAAGGAGCAGACGAAGGTCCCAGCTGGGCTCCGGCGCCGGATGTCCTCATACTCCTCATAGATGCCGCGCTTCTGCTTGCGGCTGACGTGCTCCAGCAGCTCCTGCGGGGTGAGGGCCTTGGGGCCGGGCACATGGAGCGAGCCGTTGTCGCGGGGGGTCACCAACGGCACCAGGATAAGCTCATCCAGGGGGTCGGGGTGCCCGTTCTGCTGCGGTAAGAAGCGGCAGTTCCAGCTGAGTGGGTCCAGCTTGAGGCACCCGCCGAGGGTCTCGGGCAGGCACTCGCGGGGCAGGTGCTCCTTCAGCTCCGACATCTTCACCATCTGCACCTGCAGAGGATAGGCACGGGCACTCAGCTCAGCAGGCAGGAGGGCCCTCCTCAGCTCCCAGGCTGCACGCAGCTCTGGCAAGCAGCAGGAATCTTTGGGCACACCGTTTCAAGCAGCAACCAAGTTTATCTTCTCCCACGTGGCTCATTTTCTTTCCCTTTAAAGCTCCCAGCCCCCAGGAGCCTGCAGCCCCCACACTCACCCTCTCACGCAGCTTCTCCTTCAGCAGCAGGCTGATGATGGAGTAGGGCACACGGAACCACATGGGTGCTCCCACGATGAACACCTTCTTCAGCCTCGCTGGGAAAGCGCCCTGCAGACAGTGAGGGCTCAGGATGGCTCAGCTCCATGCTGCAGGACTAACCCACACCCAGTGTGTCCTCACGGCAGTGACAATTGCAGAGACCCGGGGCTCCCAGCACAGCCCACACTCCAATCCGCACCGATTTCCATGTGGCCAGCAGAGGGCTGGACTCGGTGAGACAGCGGTGAGGGCGGGAGCGGGGCTTTGAGCCCCAGCTGCTATTTACTGGGAGCTCTTTTTCCGGAGAAGGGAGGAGGCACGAAATGCCAGCACCATTAAAAAATAATTTGCATCTGTTTTCATGAAAGCACTGCCAGCAGCTGTGTGAGGAATCCAGCGCGTGGGGACAGCTGATCCCCTCCCGGTGCCTGCGCCTCCCCGAGGGGCTGAGGCTGTGGATGGCATCCAACCTCCTGCATCCCCCCATCCCACCCCATCTCATCCCATCCAGCTCCATCCCATCCTATCCCATCCCTCCCTGCTGCCGCTACCTTCAGCAGGTTGAGGATCTTCTTGCTGAGGTCCAGCTCAAAGTTGGTGTACTGCGAGCCCGCCATGTCGTAGATGAACACCAGCCCGTTCCTCTGCGTCTCGAAACTGGGCAGGGGGAAAGAGCAACACCGCTCCAAGATCATACATGCACCCTGCACCCCTCGGTGACCCCAGGAGAGTCCCCTCTGTGCTCCCAGCGAGATGGAGCCCCCAAAGCTGCCTCTCCCTCACACCCACCCTGAGCCCATCCCAGCTGCGCTGCCCATGATGGCTCAGCGCACAAAGCCCAGCCCCAGAAACGGGGTGACTGGGCTCTGTGTTCCAGCAGGGATCCCAGGGCCGGGGCTTTCCAAGGGCCGGAGATCCCCAGCTCAGTGACACCAGGCACACGTGGACGCCTCAATGATGCCACTGATTTTTGCCATGCCTGGAAGGCTTCTAAGCAGGCTGTCATCAATCCTTGGCATGCAAACACAGAGCAAGCGACTGCTTATAGGCTACTTGAACAGAGCTAACAGAGCTCAGTCTGCAAGCAGTGACAAAGCAGCAATACAAGGCAGTGCTGGAAAACAGGGCTCAGCTCACCTCTCCACGGCCCTGTCCAGCAGGTAGAAGAGCGCCTGGAGCACCACGTGCTGCACGCTGCGGCTGGGGTGGTGCAGCTTGGCCGTGAACAGGGCGATGGAGGCCCCCGAGGGGTCCCGAACGCTCTGGGGAGAAAGCGAGGTCACGGCGTGCCTGCAGGCAGCACCGCGCTGTGCCGCACCGCACCGTGCACCTACCAGGATGGTGAACTTGCCGCTGAGCAGCTCCGAGCGCAGCGGCTCCTCGTGCGGCTTCAGCTTCACGATGCCCTCCTTGAGCCGCGTCTCCTGCGGCAGGGACACAGCGTGACCCCCAGCGTGACACTCAGGGACACACGGGGATGTGTGACCCCACGAACCGCACCCCATACGTACCCGGTAGGAGTGGAAGAGCTCAATGGCCCGCAGGACGTCGAACTTGCGGGCCATGAGGAACTTGACAGCCACATTCCAGGAGAGCGGGGACACATTGTACTGGCCCGTCCACTTGTTGATCTCTTCCAGGAACTGCTTGGTGGCCTGCAGGACAGAAGGGCATTCCTATTAGCATCCCCCAGACTCCCCAAAGGCAATTTGATGGGTGGGAGAGATCTGGGTGGTGTAACAAGAGTAATGAGCAAGGCTGGCACTTGGGCTGATGTTCCGAAGTGACGTCAGATGGGCCAGTACCAGATGCACCCCAAAATGCGATTTACCAAGGAAGAATCCCTACCCTCCTGAGATAAACCTCTCCTCCTGAGCAGGAGGAGAGATATTGCGAAAAAAAAGCAAAGTACTGCGTCACAGCCGTGTCCCAGATCCCCAAGCACTGGGACAGCCCCCCTTCCCACCCGCACATCCCAGGGTGATGCTCGGCCACCAGCCCCGCTCCCGAGCCCAGCAACATCCTCCCGTGGTGACGCACGGCCGGGGAGGAAGCCGGGACGTCACGGGAGGCACGGGGCGTGGGAAGAACGTGCACACAGCCCTACACAGCCCCACACAGCCCCACGGGCACGGGGGGGGCGGCTCCGTAAATAACGGCGGCGGGGCAGAGCCTGGGGGAGACCTGGGGTGGGGATGGAGATGATGAGCAGAGAGACGCGTAACGGCAAAGAATGGGGATGGGCGGGGGGCACGAAGACGGGGGGCATGCAGATGGAAAAGATAAGGGGCAGACGGGGGAGCCAAGGGGCTGCGCTGCGCGTCCGGAGGCTGCGTAGATGCAGAGGGAGAAAAGCCGTCCGCAGCCCGGGTGCCCGCAGCAGGGGCCGGCGGTGCTGCCCGGCTCGGCCGGCACCTACCTGCTCCTCCTCGGCGCTCAGCTCCGCGGCCATGCTGCGGCCGGGCCGGGCGGGCCGTGCTAGGCGGCGGAGCCCATCCCCGGAGCGGCGGCGCTGCGGGCACCCGCCCCTCCCTGGCGGCCGCTCGGCGGCGGCGGCGGCGGCTCCGCCCCGGGGTGTCCGCGGCCGTGAGCGGGGAGGGAAGAGAGGATGGGGAAGGGAGTGGGGAGATGGGATATAGATGGAGCAAAGAATGGAAACGGAATAAGAAAGGAAAGGAGAAAATGAGATTAAAAAAAAAAATGAAAACGAAATACAAATAAAAATCTGAAAATGAAAATAAAATAAAAACGTTAAAAAAAAAAAATGTGTAAGGATCGCAAAGCGCCGGGAAGTTCCGCTCGCCCCGGGAAGCGCCGCGCCGCTCGGCTGGGGGTTGGGCCGCCGCCGCTCCCCGCCCCGCTCCGCTCCGCCCGGCGCTGCCCCGCGGGGGCGGTGGCAGGAAGCGCCCGCAGCCCCCTCCCCTGCGCCCGGCCCGCCGATGGAGGGAGGGGCGGGCAGGAAGCGCGGCGGGGCGGGGGCTGCAGGCAGCGGGCTCCGCCACCCTGGAAGAGACGACCCGGCCCCGCTCGGGATGGGTGGCACCGAGCCGGAGTGGGGGGGGGCCGTCCCAGGGACGGGGGTCCGCGCGCCTCAGCCGGAGCCGGGCCGGGGACATTTTGTTCGGCTGAGGAGCAGCGCGTTGGCAGCGCGCCCGCAGCCGGAGGGTTTGCACCTAAGTCGCAGAAAATGGAAGAAAGGGCAGAGAGAAGCGGCTCGGCTCCTGCCCCACCGCGGTCGCAGCGGCGCGGGGCTGACCCCCACCCCACGGGCCCTCTCCAAACGCACGCTCTCCTTCGCCCATCCTTTTCTCCGGCCCAAGGGCTGCTTTGAGAAGGGGAACTGCGGCATCCGCGTGCTCTCGGCCATTGAGCGGAGCCCGCAGCCCCTCGCAGCTGCGTTTCTCTCCTGCCCGTCACGTCAGCAGATGGCCGAAGGGCAGCGCGGGGCTGCAAGCCGAGCTGCGGCTCGTCCCGAGGGATGCGCGGCAGCAGCAGAACCAGGCTGGGGACGGGCCGAGAAACAGCCGCGGGGCCGGGCTGCCGCCTCGTCCCCCCGCCTAGCGGAGCCGGGCCGGCCCTGTCTCCCATAGCGCTCCCACCGCAGCGCTGACAGCTCCCGCTGCCCGCAGGTACAGCCCGCAGCGGCTGCGGGATCAGACGGTGGAAGCAGCCCCTGCACGTAGCATAGAATGGTTCGTTTAAGGGAGAAAAAAAACACCAAACTAACAAGTGTGGGAGGGCAGAACACCCATGCTGCCGCTATCTGCACGCACCAGTACTGCTCTGCCTTCCTCCTCCTGGGCACAGCCCTGCTCCGGAGGCACTGGGAGGAGATCCCCAGGGGCACGTTTTTGCCTGGTAATTCATCTCCATGTCTCCAGGGGCTCCGCTTCAGCTTTTTAACCTCCCCGTCAAAAACAGTGCTGGGTCAGTGGGCATAATGGTTTCTTCTTTGCTGAAATTGCCACAGGGGGACAGAGTGGCCCTGCCCGTAAAGCGAGTTCACACAGGGGAGCAAGCAGGTAGGGCTGGAGCTCCTCCATGCGCTGTGGAGAACCAAACCGTTCAGTCAGTGCCACAAACCAGGCTGTTAATCCCTTGTTGGGAGACACAGCATGCATTCTCCCAGAGGTAGCAGGAAGGCAAGGAGCTCAAGGATTTGTATTTCAGAGAAACCTTTTATTTGGCACTATCAATGGCAACGTTTCGAGAGTGCGATCGTTCCTTCCTCCCCCTGCAGAGAGCAGCCCGGCACACAGGCTGGGGGCTCACGCGGAGCTGGGCTGGAGGCAGGGCTGGCTGCAAGGCAAGGAAATCACATTTCTCAGTAACACGTGGGCATGGAAAGCCCTGCCTGGGGAGCTACCGAAGCCTGCTGCAAACTTTCCTTATTAGAAGCAGACTGACTGCAAAAAACTTCCATTAAGGTCTCAGCCAGGAAGGGCTGAAGCACCCCGAGCCACCCACCCTGAGCACCACTCCCTGCAGGAGTGCGGCCAGGACAGGCAGCAGGGGCTGAGCTGGGAGCCCACAGTTCGAGGCTGATGATTTCACACTGCAGAACCACCTCTGCAGCAAACCAGAGAGCCCTGCTAAGGACCCTGACAAAAAAAAAATCCAGCGGCACGTGGAGCAGCACACTCCATTCTCATGCCCTTTAAACAAAACCATCCTGTAATTATTACCTTTGCCCACCTCTTGGGAAGTGTGAATGACAGTGAGAAGCAGAGGACCTTTAGCATCCTCCTAATTCTCCATCTGACTCCCTGCTTCCTCCTGGCCCTGTGCAGCATTAGCTGGCTGAGGGGTGGACAAGTGTTCCAGCTCATAATGTCCATTCCTAGCATCTGCCTCGGTGCTCGGCTGAGCCTTGCCCGCTGCCAGCTTTTTACTCCTCTTACTCTCGATGATCTGCTGGAGCTGGCGCCCAGCATAGGCTGGTTTGGCAGTGAGCGGCGTGGTGGGCACAGCGAGCCCCAGGATGTCAGGCACCATGTATGGGCGCAGCCAGCCCACCAGCGGGGTGCTGCCAGGGGTGTAGTGGGTCTGCTTGTGGTAGAAGAGAAGTCCGTCGACCTGCAGGAAGGAGAGACAGCAGATGAGAAGCTGTTGCAGGTGAATGAGGGAGCGCTGGGTAGCATCACTGCTTCTCAGACACCTCTGCCAGCTGGATCTTCAAGCAGAAGGGAAAGAAGAAACCTGCAGAGCTCTTGTCCTGAATGATCAGCACGAGTCCAGCGACCGCTGGATGGCTTTAAGTCACCCAAGGCAAACAGATTTAGACTGATGTCAGCACGGACCAGCGCTCCTCCTCTGGTTGCTATGATCCCATTCTGCAGAAAAGCCATCCAGCTTCTGAACAAAGCAGCACACAAAAAGACCATTTTACTGGATTAGGGTTATTTTAAATAATACATTTGGAGAGTAATTAGTCAGAGCGTGTGACGCCAAGGAGCTCTGCTTCCTAACACTGCTACAGCTCTTTCAGCTTGCTTATGCAAAAGCAATTCTTAATGTTTCCCAAGAGAGAACTTCTCCAGCAATCAATGACAGTTAAGGGCACTCAGAACTTTGAAGGTTCGGACCCTGATTCTTTGTGCTGCTGTTTCCACACTGGGCAGCACTGCAGCTGGCTGACGTTTTCCACGTTTCCCCACCACGCTCAAGTATTCCAAACCCCCCCCCCCCGGCCTCTTTTTTCCTGTGCTTCCCTGGGGAGCACTCTGCAAGGTCAGATCCTGCTGCAGATCGACCGGCATAGGAGGCGGTGCTCATTTAGTTCGCCTCGCGGGCTCTTAAAGGCTATTTACCCATGAATAAGAGTGGCTGAGTGGGCAGAACAGATGAGAAGAGCCCACTTTGGGCTGTTAGACGTGGCCCCAAATGCTCCCGCCTCCCCCGCCCCCCCGCGCCCCCGCAACTGCAGCCCCCCAGCAGAGCAGCACCTACATCATATCGAGCCAAGGCATGGCTGAGAACACAGCAGGCATGTACCCATCTCTGCTGCTGGGCATTAGCTTCCTGCAGGGCCATGCTGCCTACTGCACTACTGAAGTCCGTGATTTTTGGTCACTGTGAAGAGCTTTCAAAATAATTCCAGAGAAGGGGGATTCCTGTCCTAGGGGAACAGGAAACCAGCCCAATAAACAGCATGAGCTTGTGAAACTGGCTGGATATCTGAAGTGCAAAGCCTTTCCCTCTCCTCATGTCCCAGGAAGACTTGAGGAGAGGAGCCAGGCTCTGTGGCACCACGCCACTGCACTCTCTCCTGGACCTGCACATCCCAGCAAAAGCACAGCCCCTTCTGAGCAATGGGGATTCTGCAGCTCCCACAGGTATCTTCTAGTGACATCAGCCTGGAAAGACTCCCGCCTTCCACAATGCTCCAAAGAGCTTCCCCAAGCTGACAAAATCAAAGAATTCTGCCTAGCAGAGGGGTAAGTCATGTAATTCCTTCCCCTGATTTCTTCTAAGTTACTGCAGTTCCCATATTCCTGTCATCATCTCAGTTGTTGGCCATGTCCCTATCCCAAGTCATTGCTCTGACACCAGCCTCACCAGGACAAGGGCATCTCCATATGACTGAACCTTTTGAGCAACTGGCTTGGCAGGATTTCATGCTTCATGGCCATGCTTTGTCCTATTTCAGCTGCTCCACACCACAGAGCCTCTGACTTTGGCTCTCCCTTGCCTTTCTAGAAACTTGCACGCTGTTTTTCTCAAATCCATTGGCAGCTCAGGAGCTCTTAAATAAGACCCCGTCCAAAAAACTCTTAAAATTCAGTGCTTGTCGACTGAGCAAACTTGCTTAGCGTGGTCCATCCCAGGATGCTGGGACCAGGCATAACGAGATATCTATTACACTGCACGAGCTGTATTTTGCCTCCTGTGAAGTTTGGTTCTGGCTGCCCCGTTGCTGGAAGCTATTCACGGAGATTTCTCGGGCTCCCTCTTGTGGCACATGGTGAGCTTCATTCCTGGAAACACAGCAGCGTGGTTTCTGTGGGGCTGCCTTTGTGCCAAACTACACCGCGTTTCTGTTCTTGCTGGGGTAGTGCCCGGACACATTGACCAGGGAACCTGGGGACAAACACAGCAGGAGCACAAGGAGCATCTGCCCAGCTCCTGCAGTCCCTCTGCATTCCACAGGGGCCTCTCTCCATAAGTTGGGATGCTCTTCACCTTTTGTCACAGAGTAAAGGCCTCAAGAAGTCATAAAGCTTTCCTCAGGAGAGGCAGAGGCAGGCAGGAGCATTTGTCATTGAGCAAGTCAAAAAGGCATCCCAGGTTTCCTTCAGCTAATACTCCCCTACCTGTGCTAAAAGCAGTGTCTGGCACGGTCAGCCAGCCACAGGCACTTGGACTTCCTCTGGTGACTGCCCTGGCTTTAAGGAGGGGAAGGAGAAAAAAAAAAAGTCAGCCCTCACAGCCAAATAAGTCTCCTCTAAGTTTAAGCTTGCACTTGCACTAATCACTAACAGGGGCCAGGAGAGCACAAGAGGCACACTAAAACAGTGTGGCTTTTGGCTTCCCCATTCTCTTCTGTTTCAGTGCCAGGTAAGCCAGGGTAGCCACCAAAAGCTGCTGAGCCATTTGCATCAGGGCTTCTGACTCACTGCTTGCAGCCACACACAGCAACTGCCTGGCACACTGCTGCCTGTCCTGCCCTTCTTCCTCCTACAGGTCAGAGAGGCTGAGCAGCACTGCTCCTACAGCTGTAAGAGCAAATGCATAGTCCTGCTCAGCTGCTCTTGATGGGGGAATGTTCACCTCTGCCAGCAGGACCCAGATGCAGGAGGCTGCTGGTTCTGGACCAGAAGCAAAAAAACAGAGCTTGCACCATTCCTCCCTTCCCCCCCTTCTTCCAGGAGATCCAGGACAGACCCATCTGAACCCATCCCAGCCACTTCTGCTGCAGCCATTTGCCCTAGCACGTCTCAGCTGCCCATCACTGCTACCTGAACCCTGCAGAGACTGCTATGAGTTTAAACACACTGCTCTGTTTCCTCCTCAGGAGAGGTAGGACAGCTGGATGCCACACAGACAGATGGTAGCATCTAGACTAGGGAGACACAGAGCCTGTGGCAGATGTCAGAGAAAGACACCAGCCTGCCTACCTCACAGACCTCCCAAGAAACCCCACCACATAACTGAGCACACTACAGCAGCATGTAATACCAGCTTTGACTCTGAAAAGATCAGTTGTCCATCATACTTCCGCACAAATGTGAGTTTTGCTGCTTCTAGCAGCAATCTAGGCATCTGCATTAGCCATCCCCTCAAGCAGAGAGGACAATTCAAGCACAAGGAACACTGAGGCTTAACTCTCACTGACCAGCTCGACTGCACGTTCTCACCTCGAAGGGGAAGTTTGTTGTCAGCACCTCACACAGGCTCTCCGAGGTGCAGGGGAAGTTCTGCAGGCCCACAAACTTGTACTGAGGGAGCAAAAGAGAAAAAATTACATGGCTTAAAAGTTGAACAATTCATTGAACTGGAGGTGGTTAAGGAGAAAGCCTTCCCTTGGTACAAAATCTAACATGAGCAACAGGATGAATAACAGGCAGACAAAGTAACCAGACAGGAGGTCTCAGGCAGAGAGCAGATCCTTAAGTTGTTGGCCTTCCTACTGCAGGTAACCAGGGGTCTGAAGGTATGGATGGGCTTAATGGAGGAACTGGTCAACCCTGATGTCTGCTGGGACAGGCAGACCTCTGCTATGAGTCTAACAGCAACTCCCAAGCAAATCATGGATGGGGAAATCAAAGTGACAGGACCAAGTCATTCCTTGGTGCCAGTCACTGAAGTGACAGGAAATACTTGCACGAAAACTTACAGAAGTCAGCTCGACCTTCAGAGAGGACAGGGATAGGAATGGTCTGCTGCTTTACAGATCTCTTTCCAGTAATAAAAGTGACCTTCTTGTGAAAACCTGAGGCTTGTTACAACCATGTCCAGACAGCACAAAAAACAGAGTGCCCAGAACAATCTATTTCAGGTATTCTGCATTAAGGCCACCCTAGTTCCAAATGTCCACCTCTGGCATCTTGTTAGAGACACAGATGGCAGGGACTCTGCACATAGCTCCCATGTGCTCCCGATACCTTTTCCTCAAGCATCTCAGGCTGCAGGAAGGACTTTTCAGGGGAGCTGACCCTGAGATGCTCTTTTAACTGAAATAGAAAGTGATGACCTCTGAGCAGGATGCAAAGCAGACAGATGTCTGCTCCAGGCTGCTGGCTCAGCCAAGCAAACCTTTCCACCTAGGAAATGAAAGCTGAAACGACTCCCCAGCCCCAGCCCCCCCTTCACTAGGTAGCTGTCTTCTGGATATTCTCGTTGGAGTCAGAACAGGATGTACTCCAAACACAGATATCTCCGCTGCTGGCACAGGAGCCTTCATCCCCATTAATGATGAATCTGTTCCATCCTCTGGAGCTGCTCTGCTTGCTGTGCCTGAGCACACGCGGGTGGCCATAGAGCAATCACATCCCGCCTTGCAAGTTGCACTCCATAAGCCAGGCTGACAAATCCCCTTATATCTGTCCCCAAAAAATCACTTTCTAAGCTGCTGCGGGTGCCAGGCCTGACCTCCACAGAAGACTTCAAAGACTTCAATACTATTATCCTTGCTCAGTAGGGACTTCAGGGGGCAATGCAGCATCCACCCCTACAACTTCAGGGACTGGCTTGAGCAGGAAACAAGGCTAAAACTTCATGGTCTTTTACCCCTGCTTTGTGAGCCCATAAGACTACCAACAAATAATTCCCATTGTAATCAGACTGCCAATCAACACTGGCCCCATAGAAACCACATTGGTTTTCCATTCCAAGTGAAAGCTAAAAACAGTGTGGAAGTTAGCTGATACCCTGCAGCGTGATCTCCCTCAGCACTTTGGCTGGAAAGAAAAAACCCACATTCATTTACAATATTCAGTGGTTCTATTTACATCCTGAACATGTCAGCCCATTTCATCAGAAGTATGCTTTGAAGCCTGATCTGTTAGGGGGGGAAAAAAAAAAAACAACAAAAAAAAAAAAAAAAAAAGAGAAAAGCTTCCGCCTGTGAACAAAAGTGCTGAAGCCTGCTGAACAGGAGAGCTTACCCCCCCACCCTCCTCCTTCTCCCAGTACAAAAGAACTCACTGGATTAATCCTGCTTTTCTCTCCCAGCCCTTCCTCTTCTTGGATCTTCGAGGAGAGCCAGAAGAATCTGAAGTCAGTCTGAGAAAGGAGACAGAGGCTGAATTATTACCCACCATACATCACCCATCAGCACTTGTAGGGCTGCAGCTCAGACCTGTGCCTCCATTTCTCCACACTCACAAAGGAGACTTACAAGCTGCAGAACCAACTGACATGCCAGCCTTTGCTACTTCTCCAAATAACCCCCCCAGATTTCCAGTCTCTAGACTGTAAGCGACAGAGACACTGCTGCAGAGATGAAATATCCAAGCTGCTGCACATCGGGCTGCGACCAGCTCCAGCTGCAAAGCAGCTCCCAGAACAGGAAGCACAGGGGAAGGCAGATGGGAGATTCAGTACCTGGCAGTCGTAAACAGGGTGCCCCCTCCAGCACATCACATCGAGGATGTAGTATGTCTGCTCTGCTTCATTGTAGATGCAGTCCAAGATACAGTACACTGCACACAGAAGCACAAGAAGGTCCAGATGCACTCCTCATGCTGCCCAACCCACTGGGCAAGTGCCAGATCAAATCTCTCCTGCATTAAGCTTTAGCACAGATGTAAGGCCAAGAGGTGCAAAGAGAATCCCTGCTGCTAATAGTGGTTGTGACCACAAAAAGCTTTTAGCTCAAAGAATCCAATAAGGCTCCAAGGATACACCCAGAGCCACATCAAGTAAAGGCATATTTCAGGAAATGCATTCATCCACCAGTAACACCTCCTCAAAGGAAGCAAAGCAACTAGGTATTAACAAAGATCATGCTGTAAGCAGCTCTGCTACAGAGAGAAGATGCTGATGTTTAAGAGCACCAATTACTCAGACAGATAACTAGAGGAAATGTTATCTAGCATAAAGGTATCTGAGATTGTCTATGTCTGCTTATCCTCAGAAATACACAAACATCCTGAAGCTTACTAACCCTTGCCACCATAAAAGGGCACAACGCTGGGGCCCAGAGGAGCACCACTATGCCTGTGGGTGCATGTGCTCACAGGGAAAAGCCAGTGGTTCTCTTCTACCTATCTATCTACCTATCTCAAAAGCCTCTTCAGAACATTACCTTTCTCACTCGTTGTATTGTGCCGGTTCCCCCCTGGCAGCAGGGATGGAAACCTGTTGACACAGAAGCCACTCTTGGTGTAAGCTGCTGTGGAACCCTGCAAGAAAACAGGAGACAAAGAAACCTCATGAACAGGCTGTCACAGCAGCGATGACACACAGGGTGCTGGAGTGCAGGCTGCCCCCCAGAGCCTGCCACAGCCCATCTATGGGAGAAATTGGGCTGTTCAGCACAGCTCCCAGCACCCAAACACCTGCGGCTCACAGGGCAGCCTTGTATTGGTGGGCACAGTAAGAACACAGATCCCAGGCACAGCTCCCTTACTGGGTTCTAAGACATTTCTGCTGCTGTCTCTTACCCTGGAGGCCACTACCAGTGCTCTCTTCCCAACAGGACACACCACCACGATCCATTCCTGTTCCAGATCCACAGGGACATCGACCAGCCACTCAGAGAGCATCAGCTAGGCAGAAATCCAGAAAAAGCAGTCAGTGACAACTCTCCTACAGCTATAAAAAACTTGCAGCTCAAATTGGACCGTTTTGACTCATCTTCTACAGCCACACAATCTGCACTGCTCACCACCCCAGATCACAACACCCCTCTGCCTTTTGCTGAGCTGCGTACCAGACTCTTCCCCTAAATTTCTTCTTTTGCTCCCCAGCTGCTAAGCTTTGGTGTACAGCGCAGTGCTCACATTCCTCATCAGGGCACCCCAGCACCTTGGTCTCCATGTCAACCCTCAACTTCATTTAAGTGCATGGCAAAGGTCTGGGATTCCCAAATATCTGGAGAGATGAGAACAGAGCAGTGGACATATTCGGACCCTTCAGTACATGGCTATAGCACCTTAGTGACCTCCTGGAACCAACAAAGCTGAGAAAACCCAACTACTGACACTTCCTGCTGTCACACATATGGGGAGAAATGGAAACTGTGAACCAACAGCTGCACAGCGGGACACAAGGTCACAGAACTGCTGGAGTTGGAAGGGACCTCTGGAGGCCATCCAGTCCAATCCCTCAGCAATGAACAGGGACACCTACAGCCCGCTCAGGGTACTCACAGCCTTCCTTATACTTCCCTTTAGACCCTGCAGGCCGCTCTCAGCTCTCCCCACAGCCTCCTCCTCCCGGCCCAGCACTCAGCTGCCCTGGCAGCGCTGCGTTCCACCCCTCGGAGCCTTTTTATGGATGCACACCCGGTACTGAGGGCTCCCACCCCCGACCCGGCGCTCCCTCACCTGGTTGGCGTATCGCTTGGGCAGCCTCCTGCCGGCGTCCACCTCCATCTCCTCCTCCTCCTCGTCGTCGCCATCCTTCCCCCCGTCCTCGTCGCTCTCCACGCCGGCCCAGTCGCCCTCCGCCAGCCTGCGGGCATGGTTCACGTAGTCCAGCCGCCTCCTGCGGGAAGAAGCGCGGAGTCCCGCTCACCGCCGAGCCCGGCGACAAACCGACCCCCCGCAGCCCCCCGCCCGCTCACTCTCTCTGCAGACACAGGAGCCGCCGCCGCCTCTCGTCCTGCCCCAGCCGGTCCCCGCGGCCTTTGTACGCGCCGAGCCGCGGGTGCGGCGCCGCGGTGCTGTTGGGAGCCGCCAAGGCCACGCCGCCCGCCAGCGCCGCGCACAGCTCCTCCATGGCAACGCCCGCCGCGCGCCGCGCGCACTTCCGGCCGGCCGGCGGCGAGCGGCGCAGCGCCCCCTGCCGGCACGGAGGAGCTCCCCGCGGGCCGGGGCGGCGCGACACCGGGGGGGACCGGGGGCGGGCGGCGGCGGGAGCCCCGGGGCGGCGGCCGGCAGGG